GAATATGCGGGTGGAGGCAGCGCTGGACTATAGTTGTGAACGTAGGCATACATTGGTGTGAATCGTGTGTCTCCTATGATGTCCCCGTCCTCGTCGTCCCCAATATCTACTGACCCACTGATGCATTCGGTATAAGTTGGCGGCGCTGTTGGCATCAAATGAATGCATAAACATAAGCATAAATACAGACAACTAATTGAAACAGAAATTTGTAACAAACGTGTGGTTGAGATGTCGTCCAACTCTAGCGCCGAATACGAGGGCACCGGCGGGTAGAAAGTGATGCGGGCTTCCGATGGCCTCATCAGTGGGTTTCTATACTGGGAGTTGTGTGCCCTGAGGGGTACGGTGCCCACGACGATGGGTAAGTAAACGGAGAGATTGTATGCGATGAGGGGTATCTGTAACGTGATTCTGACGGCATATTCCACTTTAATGAGCGAACAGTTGACAATAGACGGCGAAACGGCCGGTATTTTCAGCAGTTGTGAGTCCCAGTTGGCCGTCCGTCGTGGCTGTATCGCCAGACCCGTGACTATTGTAAACTTGAAGCGACGGCACCGGGATTTACCGCTGGCCAGGAATGTCTGCGACTGGTATAGCGTGGCGTGAGGTATGATCGCCCGTCGCGAGTGGTTCTCAAACTCAGCCGTTATTGATATGGATTCGCCTTGGTCATTGGTAAGCCATTAGAAAACAATTGATAGATAATTGATATGAAGTGAATACCGGGACAATAACCCGTCCTATCAGTCCTGGCGTAGAGGTGTATGGGCCCCGACGTACAGCACAGACAACACAATGATTTTTCAATACTATTCTCCACTGGAATCTGTGGTTAAAAATAGATTGTTTTAATGTATAAACTGATAAACTGTGGTGAACTCAACACTATGTACTGTATGTTAACTTATGTTAAATTTATTTAATTATTTTGACAAATATTTTCAGAAATGATTTACCGGTATTATTTTTAGTAAATTTGCTTGAAAACTGCTTTCAAATTTAATGAAATTATTTACTATTGTATATTTTTAACATTTTATATTATAAATAGATACAGTATAAATAAATGCAAATGTGTAATAATTACTGTATATGTGCATAAGCAAATAAAATAATATTTGATAGTAAATTTTAAGAATATAAAAACTTTATTTTTTAAAAACATAGTTATCTCAAACTAATGGATAACTTTATGGTTTTGTATTATTTTTAGAATCACTTTCCCGTAAATTACTTATGATATACACAACTATATAACTGTATAAAAAGTTACATTGAAAATGAGCATAATGATTATAATCATGTTATGCAATTTCATTAAAAACCACTTCAGAGAATACAAATGAATAAAGGTTTGTGTAAATTGTATTAAAATAAACTATTATTGTAAACAATTTACTTCACTTTAACACATTATTTTAAGTGTAGTTAACAATAGTAATCAATATCAACTGTAGTTAATTTCACAACCGTTTACGAAAGTTTATTTTCTCATTAAAACAAAACCTTTGCGATTATAATTAAATTGAAATTTAGCTCACAAATCATGATAATATCTGACAATACTCAAAATCCATTGACATTTCGATCAATTGAATAAATAGCATAAAGTAAAATAAACATTAAAACAAAAACAATTTTAGTCTCATTTTCTTTGGTATTATAAATATCATATGAAAATCGATTGTCTAAAAATAAAATCATCTCATTTCATCGCAAAGTTGTTTATTCATTAAACAAATTATTATTACTGAACACTTTTATTAATCAATCATAACATAAATGTAACCCAGTTAATTGTCTGAAAATCAATTAACACATAAGACTCACCAAATATTCTCGTCTATTAATATCGATGGGACTGATGACAGTAAATGCTTTTTTGGTCTTATGGTTGAACCCCCACGGCTTC